ACCTTTGCATATTTTGCATTAACACTGTAATTGTTCATTTTTTCTTTTTTCAGACACTTATTTGCAGATTACGTAGATGTGTTTGTGCTGCGTCTTTCTAGTCTTTTTTTATCATGAATGCTGATTAAAACGTGCAGCTCACAAAGACAGGACAGAGGAAAGCGGACACAGAAGGGGATTATGTCCTCTCTCATGTACTCTGCCTTCGTGCGCTGCACTTTTTATTCACCATGACTTACCAACATGCCCAAGCATTCATCTTGAACTTTTCAGGAACTTAATAACCTAAGCAGGATTGTTGTCAACACATCTCGTTTAGCAAAAACTAAATAAAAGCAAGAGCTAGCAAGATTGAACGAACGTGGTAGATTCTTAACAGCGACGAGAATTGTGGTTGTGGCTAATCTGTTCCTTCCATACTTTTTTTGCTCTCTTTTATTACGCTTCAATAAGTACTCCCTCCCCCCCCTCCCCCCCCCCCCCCCTTGCTAGCATTTTAATAAATTTCATACTCTTTTAAGCCGGGCTGTCGTCAACACGCCCCCTTTGGCAAAAAAAAAGCAAACAACAACAATAATAACAACAGTATAAACAAGCGATTAGCAAGAACAGCTGAATTTGAGAGGTCACATTCAGCGGAGAGAATTGTGATTGGGGCTATTTCTTTCCAGGTTCTGGGGAGATGCCATAAGAATTCAATCAGTACTGCATCTTTGTAGTGCATTTATGAATAGCATAAATTACATAACATATCAAGATCACATCAGGTAAATCACAGGTCTTCATAGAAATTTTATGACGTGATAATCAGGACTCGATCATTCTCGCATTTGTTTATAAGTCATATACCAAATGAAGCGGTACTGCATTTTTCAAGTATATTGAGAAATCTCATGGCGTGTTAAGCAGGATTGCATGTAGCAGTTTTTTTTTTATAAATTACACGACGGGATAAGCAGTACTGCATCTTTACAATCATTTAAGAAATCTCATGACGTGCTGACCAGGAATGCACCTTTACGATATTTTGTTCTATGAGTCACATAACGGGTGAACCAGTACTGCATTTTCCAGCCTTTTTGGGAAGCTCATGCCGTGCTAACTAGGGCTACATCTTTCGTCTTTCTTTCAAAACATCACCATATGCTAATGAGGACTGCATTTTTGCAGTCTTTTAGCAATCTCCTGATTTCTTAACTAGGACTGCATCTTTCTAGTGCTTTTTAAAAATCTCACAACTGCGTGATATCTAAGACTGCATCTTTCTGGTTATTCCAGACTTAAAACTGCATCTTTTTAGTATCTTAGAAATCACATAACGGGCTAACGAGGACCGCATGTTTCTAGTCTTTTTTTTTTAGAAATCTCATATGACGGGTTAGCCAGGTCTTCATCTTTGCAGTCTTTCCAGAAACCCCCTACCATGGTAACCAAGACGGCCTATTCCTGGTCTTTTTGGAAACCACGTAAAGCTTTAACCAGGTCTTGCGAGTTTTATTTTGATGTGGGATGCGTATATTGGTAGAAACTGGTGGAGAGAAAAGTGCGCGTGGACGACCGTCGATGAGGACACCGAGGTCACGTTGGAATTAGCGGGTAAAGGCAAAAATGGCTGCATATGTCCATACTTACACTTCGAAAGCAAACGCCGAGCGCCGGTCACCGGCTTTTAGCACGTTCGAACAGTGTATTGTTAAGACCGGTTATAACGAAGTCAACGGGAACCGGAAATCATTTCGCTATATCCGATATTTCGTTATAACCAAGTTCGGTTATAACGAAGTGCAAAAGGGAATGGGAAATAGTGATCGGTTCGCTGTATCCGCTATTTCGTTATAACCGGTCTCGACAGAGAAAGGCAGCTGGTTTTACGTCTATCCATCATTCCAAACAGAATTCGGTGTTCTGACGTAGCGTGTTCTCCCCCTCTCTCTCTCTCTGCTTCTACCCATATAAAAGTTTTTTTTTTTCATTGTTGTTCCCGCTTTTCTATCAGCACACTAAAAAAAAGGTATATTCTCACACGCCTTGTCACATATACGACACGCCCAAACTTTAGTAGGACGTACAGCGCACTGACGCTGAACTGACGCTACCGAATTTCAAGAGCGGCTTGATAGCAGAGTTGTACAACTTATTGAAATAACTAATGTAAGTGTGACTGACTGCAAAAAAAAGGTTATCGGGGTTTTTTTTTACTCTACTGCAAAACCCCTGTTGTTGTTGTTTTTCTGTAGACTTTGATACGCACTTTAGCTGTTTAATACGTTACATTGCACCGTCATCAACCCTCTCGCAAACGTTAGGGCAGTCAGCTCGACCTCAGCGCGCTGTACGTCGAACGGAAGTTTTAGGGTGTTGCATATTTGACAAGGGCTGTAATGGCTACACCTTCTTTTTTTTTGGAGCGAGTCCTAGTCTCCCCCTATCAAACTAGTGTCTATAACAACATCCCAAATCACTGACCAACTACTATTTTAGAGAACAATGCTTACCTTTTCCAGGAATCGTTTAACTACAAATGCTCGATCCCTCAGAAACTATACCCTGTTCACCCTTGATCTGAGACTGCAGCCAAGGTTACAAACGCGAGCTATTAGCGCCGAGCAGAGCCGTGTATTGAGAGAGTTTGGTCAATGGGAGGCGCGGGCAGAGTCAGGGCGTGCGGCAGAGTCGGAAAGAGGGCTTGGCATGCTCTCTTGACCAACCAGAAGCCGAAAAGAATCCCCTAGCGGTGGTAGCGGCAAACAGTTCTGATCAAAAGTCTATGTTCGTATATGGTTTTAATAAACGCGTAAGAGTGAAGTGTAGTAACTCTTCGTGGTTGAAAATAGGGTGCACGTGTTGTTTTGATCATGATCAAGCAGAAAGATGTAAGAAACGAATGCACCACGCAACTCTGTTTTGCACGGACGTTCGGACGGCAGATTCCCGGCCCTGGGCGCTTGGCGTACGGATTATGTCGATCGTTCCGCTAGTCGCACTTTTTCACCATCATTTTGGATTAACGTGATTGAAACATCACGTGTACCATATTTTCAGCCATTGAGAGTTACTCCAATGCAGTTATCAGGTTTGTTTCTCGCGACCACCGCCAGGGTATTATTTCCGGCTTCTGGTTGGTCACATTTGAATTTCGGAAGACGCCCTGGAACACGCCCAGCCCGCTTTCGGCCAATGGCGCCTCCTCATTTGTCTCCTATACTTGCCAACGAATGGCCAAACTCTCTACATTTACGGCTCTGGCGGCGAGATGTTTCGGTGGCGCCCTCGTTCGGTTACCTTTTGTGACGTCATTACCTTGTGAACAACAAGGTCGAGGGTGTTTCTAAAGGGCATGGTGGAAGCCTGAAATCATAGCGCTTTAAAAGCAACACTGCCAACACCGTCATAATTGAAGTTCTCACATTCCTCTTATTTCCGTCGATGAGACATCCTTTCCTGACGTCATAGTCTGCATTCGGCCAATTGTGATGGGCCGACAACAGCGACGCTTTCAATCGCTCACGTCGTCAATAGCCTAGGCCACGCTCCTGGCTTTGAGGCGTGCATTTCTAGCGCGAGTGCTCGTTCTGCGGAAGAACGCTTCAAAGCAACCACCTCGAGCTCTCGTGCTTCTGGTATTGGTTACAGTCACAGCTTAACATAGCCTCCTCAGTACTCACAAAGCCTGGCAGTTCGACGACGGAGCCATAGAGTGTTCCGTCGCAGATTTGGAGCGCGAGGATCTGGTAGCAGAGAACATTTCTCGGGGAAGCTGGTATTGAGCGCACAGCTTTTGCAGTGGCGAGGACCCGAAACATGGTTTCAAACCCGACGAGTAAAGGAGCGGTAGAACGAGGAACGCGAGGAGCGCGAGCGGACATTTCATATCGCTCGGGAAAAGTGTGTTTCGGCGTCTCGCCGCAGCGGGGCGCCCGTCACGTGGATCTCCTTTCATCCGTTGTCTGCCGCTCTACCTTTTCACTTTCGGCGGCCGCGTCTCGTGGCGATCTGCCAAGCTTTGTCAGTATAAGAGGCGGCTATGGTAGTTGAGAATACTGTCGGTGCCACAGGGAAATAAGGCCGTCAGAGCTGGAACTTCCTTTCCAGAGCAACAAAGAACAATAGATCATTTTTTTGAGCTACTGGAACGTCAAGACACTCACCAAACTGTTGAAATTTACGAGATGTATAGACATTTATGTTATTTCTTTAATGTTCATTTACGTATCATTGTGGTAGCATACTCTGATATCGTGCAGGCGTTCAGTTTTTTATGCCTTTCTAAAAGTGTCGAATCTAGCTCCCGGTAAACACTCCAGTAATCTGTCATACTTGTCATATTAAGACACAATAGAACGATATTGGACTCTTAAAAAGGTCCTTCTTTTATATAAAATTTCCATCAATGACATCTTTGGATATATTTCAACCGCTTGTTTTCAAGAAACCACTCGCTTTTTTTTCGGTCAATCCTCTTTAAAGGGATACTGAACCAAGGAATTTAGTGTCCATAATAAGTGGCGCACGTTCTTTCCACGAGCCAGCAGCCGCCGGTGTGCGCGAGCACACGCAACAAAAATGACGTCAAAGGCCTCCATTCGCGATTAAGATGACAGTGAAATGTACGGGCTTCGGGCCAAAGGAGAATAAAGACAAGTTTTTCATCTACACAGTCGTCTTTGGTGTTAAAGGTAAGCGATTAATTGGTCTAACAAGCACGTAGCTTTCACTTGTGGAGATGAAAAGCCTGCCTTTATTCTCCTTTGGCCCGAACCCCTTGCATTTCACTGTCCTCTTAAGCGCGAATGGAGGTCTGTGACGTCATTTTCGTTGCGTGTGCTCGCGCACACCGGCGGCTGCTGGCTCGTCGAAAGAACGTGCGCCACTTATTATGAGCACTAAGTTCTTTGGTTCAGTATCCCTTTAAGCGGCACCCATTTAACACAAGGGTGCACGAGATGCTTTGAGATTGCGTTCGCGGGTTAATAAATAAGAAAATGACATCAAAACCGATGTTTCGAGGAAGAATTGCACTTTATTGTCATCAGCATCACTCTTTTATCGCAGAAACCTGATGGGTTGGTCGGATAGGATGTCTGTTTTGAGCAAAAAGGACAAACCAAAAACGGGAAGAAATAAAAAAAGACTCGCTTCTTATGTGTGGAATGTGATTAGCCAATCAAACGGCTATAAATTACGATAATTTAATACGCGCCGATGCGAGTGAGACACTTTCATTTTATTGAAGCATCAATTGTTTTTATCTGCTACTGTCTAGACAAAAATACCCGGGCGTATCCTTTCCTGTTAAGATTTCAGGGAGCCAGTCAGAGCGATCTGCAAATAGAGCCTGCCGAATGCTTCGTGCAGGATCTAAGATCCATTAATGCTCTTTTCTGCTTCATCCATTTGCCGAGTTCCAAATACTCTGATTGGCTCTTTGACTGCTCTACGCGAAAGTAGATACAGGGAGATATTTCCGATTAAGGCCTCAACAAGATTTGAAACGTTCTTCTTTCGGTACCGTTACTCCATTGAATAAACGGCAAACAGGCCAATTTGGCTACAGTCGTCTGCACGAGAAATTTCATTCTAAAATTTCAATAAAAAGAAGCCACGAACTTCATCTTGTCCACCCTCTGTTTTGGTTATTATCCTGGATCGGTAAGCGAGGTGTGCAGGATAGAATGCTTCGCGATAACAACCCTGTGTTTTGCCTTTAATCACTGACTTCGGTGAAGAGGTCTGCATGCAAATAGGTGTGATTTCACTATTTTGTTGTCTTCTTTTTGTAGTAACAAGGAACATGTGGGGGTGCAACTTTTAACTGATTTTTGTTCACCTTCCGGCGACGCGAAAGTATGACGGGTAAAGCATGTCACCCCATTTGACGAACAGTTGGCCAACTATCTCCCGAACAAAAACATTTCATCTGCGAACGGTGATACTTTGACAGTTCACAAGAGGATATGCAAAAGCCCTTCTTGCAGAAACATTTTTTCGTAACCTCTATGCTGCTTCAACGTAAATATTTTGTTTTGCCTGACATTTTTTGCAGACATTTGTTGGTAGTCTGTCCTACACCTGAGCATAATCAATTAGAGACAGAACTATGTGTTTTGAAACAAGCGGTGCTAATAAAGATTGCTCCAGTCGAAAAACAAATCCAATGTGATACTTTGCGACTTTGCTGAGCCGTTCTCAAATCCTTATACAGATAGAGGACGGAGAGTCAGCAGCATCACATATTCCCCTAGCGGCGTTAGCGGAAGATAAATTTGAGACAGATTTGATATTGTTCATACTGCACTTTTGCTACCTGAAGCTTCTTCGGACTCCAACGCCGCTGACGCTGATAACATATTGCAATTTTGCGTTGTCGTCTACCCATGTGGACGTTCCATGCAGCGTTTGGCAAAATGCGTGGCCAGTTTCAATTGTGCAAACACTGTCTCAAACTTAAGTCTGTGGACTGACTCCAGCGTCGGTGTTTCCACCCCCAAACCCCACCCAGCCACATTCAAACAATATATTTATAATTTTTTGTTTGCATTTTCGTGGCAGGGACGCCATACAACGTATTGTTTTACAAACGTCCGCGTACATAGTTGGCCAACTGTTTATCTAATGTGTATAAAACGCGAAATTTAAGAAATAATTACAAATTGCGGGTCAGAAAGCGCGGAAACGCCGCGCGCGCATGTGTAGTGACGTAATTTTTTTGTTTGTTTGTTTCCCAAACAGGGACGAACTGTGGCCCCCGGCAAACACAAATGTAAACATGAATTAAAACGGGGAGGAAACCGACACTTGTGACACCACAACGTGCACGACACTCACACATTCACGTACTTGTACACACATACGAATTCACCCTCTGTCGGGATGCTTTTTACAGCGCCCCGAAATTATGAGATTTCTTGTTTTTGTTCTTTTGGGCGTTGAGAATCTGGGTCCTCGTCTGTCGGTGGTGGCTCACGATTGGATCGTTTTTCAACGTCTATTACAATGCTCTAATGCTCTAGGGTGCTTTTAAGGTTTTGTCGCGGCAGTAAGAATATTACAGACACTAACAATCCGAGAACGAAAGAGAGGTCCTTCAATTACACAGCTGCTGGCGCGAGCTTTCTGCCTTCGATCATGCTTCGGCATCTCGTGACGCGTAGCCAGAGTACAATGGAAGGCAAAGAGCACGTGCTGAAGGCCGGGCATTTAATACCGTTCTGTTCTTTCGCGTCGGTGACTACAGAGGAAGCCCTACAAATGACCAATGTACTGAAGCTGCATGCGGCATTTTGTCTATTAACCAAGAATCTCTGTCGGCGACAATCAGGAAGCTTCAACCTACAATGAACGCAATGTTACCATATTTTTGTAGATGCTGAGCTCTGAGCGCAATAGAAACTATATTAGCCTGGAATTTGCGACTATTACCGAAACGTTTAAAAGCATTTTATGTGTTGATAGGGCGGCGGGAGCCCCGATGCGACAAACGAGTCCTTCTTAAGTTGACGGACGTTGCTTTAACTTAGCTCTTACCCGATGGTCGGGAGCCACCACCGGCATACGGCCAAGAGGTTTAGTCATGCTCTTTGCCAGCACTATGTTTTTTTCAGGTGTGTGTGCAATGTGATGATGGAGGTGTGATTTGGCAACGCAACGCCTCCCTGTCCGCTTTTCGCGGTGCTTGATGTCAGCGGCGATTATGAATTTTAAAATCCTAACGACCCTGTGCACGTTGAAAGAACTCGAATGAATCCATGTGACGTGCAAGCGAGGCCTAGCGGCGCGGTTGATATCCCCGAGATCGATCGCGCGAACATTTTGATTGCATCGTCGTATCGACCAGTATCAAGACGACCGTTCAATGTCCCTAACTTTGAGGGAGAGATTTTTATGACGACTTTTTCCTAAGCGAACGCGGACTAACTCAATGCGTTTCCTTTATAGAGGCTCATGCACGTAACCAGGCGCTTAAATTAAAAAAAAATTTCGACGCGCTACTCTTTGGAATCACCGAGAGACGCAAATGCTTGGTTTGCTGAGTGCGAAGCGTTCGTCGAGGAACGTCAGTCCGGCGTTGATCTAGATCTACAAGAAGTATTCTCTGGGAACTTTCCGATTCCAGGGTAGGGACTGTTTTGTAAACTCGGCAAACGGTTCCAAGTGAGGATGACCTGATGTCATTGTCGGTAAGTGACGTGTGCAGGGATTACCGTCAGTGAGAAGGGGTATGGAATGCATTTACCGAGTGACGTTATGTGCGGTCAATGTGACGAGGGTTGGACACTCTACTTGAAATTTGGCAATTGAACAGTGTGTCAAGCTAATTTGGCACCCACATTGTTTACAGTCCCTCCATACGTTCGCGCCATTTCCTATGGAATATTCGGTGTCCACATTAACAGCTGGATAAACTCTAAGGGAAATGTTTGTTTCAGTAATAGCGCTCTAGGAGTGTGTTCTGGGCGCCGTTTGTTTTGAGCGGCGCAATGGCAAAAGCGATGGTCCTGGAGTGAGTCACGTGTTTGATGAGAGAACAAGCGAAGTATCGTAGATAGAGTACTGTGGGGGGAAGAATATGGTTATGCGGATTCTGTACACTGAAAGTTCTTGAGAATATTCCACTCTGCCTGGGGCAGTTCCTTTGTCAGTCTCTAGCATATTTACAAAATAGGTCCACGCACTGGCACACATTCTGTTCACTGTGGCTTGTGTAGACTTTGCCCGCAGCGTTCTGTCGTGTCGAAGCCGTCTTTGCACGCCGCTTTCTTCCTTTGTAGGGCGCGCGGTCGCATCGCCCTTCGGTGACGTTCGCTGCTGGTGGCTAGGATTGGCTCCTGGACCAATTCTAGCGGTTCTTAAGGTCTGCGCTGATATCACCGGTGGAAACGGGGAGGTCTGGAAGGTCTCTCGAACGTAATTTCTCTCCAGAAGAGCTTGCCGTCCGTTTACGTGCGTTCTTGATGTCAAGGTCACTCAGCTGGAACGTTAGTAGCCACTGATGACAAATGCACTCAGGCGTAGGACCGTCATCAGTCCCGCGTGGGTGAGGCTAGATGGACAGAAGCAAACTCCGTTGTTAAGGTCGAGCTTGCTTCAGTCGTCGGAGACTTGATTCGAGCCAGCCGCTTATCGTTGCGCATTGACCGATCTCAGCAAAGATTCATCTCTTGCGGAAGAGTCAGCAGCGCCAGCTCTTTCTCAAAGACCTCGCAGCATTCCGCGTGTCCCTGTCTCGAGGAATGCGTTCGCACGTGGATGTCTTCACAAACGGCGGTGGCAGCAGCACCTTCTCGAATCCCGTCAGCATCTTCCCAAGAACCGGGTTGGACAAGTCGGCGGTGGTGGCCGTCCTCGCACCCGAGCCTTCCAGAACCTCTCCCGTCGAACGCTTCAGCCAGACGAGCTTGGCCCCCTCGTGTTCCCTTCATCCGAATACGAGTCACAGCTGCTTCCCGTTCCTCCGGAATGGGTCCTGCTGGGCGGCCAGAACGTCGGCGGCCGTCTCGGCCGCCAGGGGGCTGGTGGCCGTCGGTCCGGTGCCAAGGGGCTGCCAGAGCGGCGCCGCGGTGGGCAGAAGAGAGGATGCCCAGGGGTCCAGCGTGGCGTGGACCCCCGACGGAGGTCACTGGAGCGGCATGTAGGGCCAGTTGAAGGAGCTCCCGGACAGCAGCATGTCCCGGATGAGAGTCTCGATGGGCGTTTTCCCCACCAGGCGGACGAAGAAGAGCTGCTCGATGACCTGCGAGCTGACCGTGCGGAGGCTGGGAAGCCGCAGCAGGAGCTTGCCGAACCGCGTCGGCTGGTTCGGGTACTGGGTCCGGCAATACTCTTCCAGCGCGCACTGGGATTTCTCCTGGAGGCTCTCGATGTGCGCCACGTCCGAGAGGCCACAGGCGTCTGCGAGGAACAAAACAGGCGAGACGAGAGGTTAGCAACATTGCTCTGCGATGGACCCTTGACTTGGGCTAGGTGGCGTAAGCTACCGCCCGGTACAAAGAGTATATAGCCATTAACATCCATGCATCCATCAATCCTGTGATCTCGCGATCAAAGCAATAAAGCGACTGATAAATTCCGATGTATATTCTTCAAAAAAAAAAATGCTGCGTTCAGACGATGGCCACCTTCTCAAATCTGAATACAAAAAGCGGTTCACTTTTTCCTTTTATCTGAAAGCAGGTTTCTGCCTCATGTCATTTCATCACGAAAATATACTATTTGGGAACTCAGCTCAACAGATAGTCAGTTCTATATCTGCTCCTACGTTGTCTGCCTTTTGGTTATTCGAAAATGTTATGCTGCTAGTCTAGCTGCGAGAAGTATAGGCATACAGAAAACAACAGATCATAAATGTATCCGCGTGTGTACAAACAAGATTAGAGGCAAGGAGCACACTCAGAACCCAAGAGCGAACGCATATTTGAGCATCAAAATGTTATTTGGGTCTAGTCATAGGTTCGAACCGTCCATTCATACACAGACTAGAATTTTTATTTTTAAGTGCACTGATACCTCTCATCTACTGAACTTTCTTGTGTTCAGATAACTGTTCTCTGATGTACACTTAGCGGCATTTGAACAGACAGGAAAGCATTTCAACGCACGAAATATACTTATAACGCGTTCTACTGAAGCCTAACCTCCATCAAGAAGCTCATTCGAGTACATGTCCTACATTACGCTTGGTTCCCGAACAAGTCTGGAGCGCGTGGAATCAAACATTGCTATTACCAACGAAGCCACGTTTCCCACAGCGTCCAGCAGCGGTGGATTAACTGCCTTTGTTCGGAAACAATCGTTAACCAAAGGACGCAACAAAAAAAAGTAGGCTTAGGTCCGCTGATTCCACGTAGCGGGCTTCCAAAAATGGCTACACTGAACTGCAACAAAAAGGGGACTGAATACGAAACTCAGTCAGATCGATGATTGTAATAGCGTGGACAGCCCGTCCGCCGGATAAATAAAGGTTTCGCGAAAAACGCCGTGCCCACATAACACAGCCAGCCCACAATCGAAACCATTAGAGAGCCGATTGTGATGACCGTAAGTCGCTGACCCGTCCTGCTTTCTTTCTTTCTTCGACATCGGGAAGCCACTAGTTATGAAGGAACGGGCCACGAGTACAAAAGCCGGAACGCGCGCAGACTCGCGCATAGTGTTACCGAATGTGTGTCGCGTGCGAGCCCCCTCCTCTTAAAGCTCGATTGCCGTGTCTAATTGATCACGACGTGAGGTTCGCTCGCTCGACGAAGAACGCAAGCGCACAGCAACGGCGGACTGGTTGGTCTATACGATGCGGATATATTCCAGTTGTCCATGCGCGTGTTCCTGTCTCCAGGATTAGAGAGAAGAATGTCTTCTCGGCGTTGGTCGGCAGGCAGGCAAGCAGGCAGTCTACACGCGAGGACGACGCGGTTTGCATTTCCTCCCGCTAGGTGGCGCTGTTTCTATTTCGGGCACCTCCCAGCTTCTTTTCCGCGTCACCTTTGTTGACCTCTCGGGGCATACCGTACGTCGTCCGACGAGGGTTAAACGGCTTGAGACCTTCGAGGGTCGTTAAGAATCTCTCTTCGATGTTTTGTTTTGCTTTTTCTTGGGCTTTTCGCCTCTTTACGATTAATATTGCAGGTACGCGAAGGAGGCAAAGAAAACGACGCGGTTCTCTTGTTTTAGCTGAGAGACCATCATCAATGGGCCAAAATCATGCTTTGTTTTTTTTAGAGGAACTTATCGCTCGTGCCTGCGGGCATCTGTATAGTTTGATGTTAGATTTACTTAGGAGTTGTACTGAGGATTGTTACGGGGCCGGGACGTTTTATGATCGGGGGCACGCTCGCGCGCGGGACATCTGCACGGCTTTTACGGTTAAGCGGTTAGGTCCACGCGTTCGCGATCGGTGCCTTGGTTCCTGCGTGGGCCAGAGCGAAAACACCCAAGCCTACACACTGAAAGACTAACAAAACAAAGAGGATGGGAATTGTGGCACAAAGGAATGTGAAAGTGGTGGAGATGGCGGCTTGGCTGGCCTTCCCGTAAGAGGTGAAGTCGTGACGCACCGACGCAGATGTTTAGGTCCCTTACATTGATTGCGAGAGCGGTAAGTTGAGAATTAATGACGCTGCGAAAGTCTTCCCCGGGCAGCTCGTCCGGCCCCCCCTTCGGAACTGTGCCGCTACGCTCGCCTCTCGCGCGGCACGGCTGCGCTGAACGTTATCGCGAAGCTTCTAAAGTCCATGAAGACTCCCCTTTACTTCGAGCCGAGGCCCATACTCTTTTTCACCTTAAAGGCCTGTTCACACATGCAGCTGAGCGCTACAAGCATAGCGCTGACCTCGCGCTAAGCGCGTCCTCACGGGAGCGTTCACCAGCTTTTTATCGCACCGTCAAATCTGTTGCTCATGGCAGACGCTAAGTAGCAGACGACACGTGAGCAGCGCTACATCAGCGCTTCGCTGCATGTGAGAACCGGCCTTAAAGGGAAGCTGGAACACTTTTTTAAAACAAAATGAGATAGAGGTTGATTATAGCGTAGTTTTATCCCATGAATGTGAATATCACGTTCGTTTTCTCCAAAGATGTAACTAAACGCGAGAAAGCACGAAAAATCTCCGAGCAGCAGTGACGTCATCAGAGGATTTCTCGGCCGCCAAGCGCCAGTCGCTCGAGGGCCGCGCGTGCGATCGCAAGCTTGCCAGGTATATTCCTCCACAGTGGCACGCACCAATCGTGACGTCGTTTTCTGCCGCTCTTAAAAATAGCGAGAGTGCGCGTGCATAGCTTCGATAGGCGCTGAAGATGTGCGAGAGCGGAGATTCGGAAAAAAATCTTTTTGTGACGCCAGGCTCCGGGAAGGAGGGCCTTCAGCGGTACTTTGAACATGATTTTCTGCAGGCTCCTAGCACCAAATTAAGAATATAAAGTCGATATTCGAGATCCTGGAGGTCAAATGAAGACAAATTAAGTGTTTCCTCGAATTAAAACAACCGCTTCATCTTCCCTTTAAATCCGGATGAGGCGACGAGAGCTTATGGGACCAATCAAACAGCATCAAAAGTGCAGCGTCATGGTTAATACGTGGATGCGGGCCAGCTGGTGAAGAACTGAGATTTGTTAGCCCTAGAGCTAGGAAACAAAAAAACGACAGCACGTCTGTCTTGTCCCTCTGTTTGCCTACCCTAGTGAAAAATCTTAAATGTATAAGAAATGTCTTGGTCCAATAAACGCGTAGGATCAAATAAGAGTAAGCAACAACCTTATGAGAACATATAAGGCCGATATAAGATTCTATAAAAAGTTATAACAAACTGATAGAAAATTTCTTATAACTTCTTATATAATCCAATTTTGTCTTGCATGCTCTTATAAGGTTCTTGTACGCTCTTATGTGATCTTATTTTATCATATGCGTTTATTGGACCAAGAAATTTATTATACATATAAGATGTTCTACTAGGGTACTCTTTAAGGTCATAAAATGTGACACCATGGTGTTCATCATGTTTCTGTGCGCGTCTTATCGTCGCTAGACCAATATAGTGTTGAGAATTCCCTGTCACTTGTGCTTTTAGTAGGTATTCGAACACATGCAACCATGGTTGCATGTATTCGTGCCTCGGACTGCTGCCTGACTTCGATAAAACGAAGTAGAGTAGTACTACAAATGCCTTATATCGGAGGCCCCCAAGGCTGGTTCCCACATTTGCGTTCAAGTCCGATGAACTGCCTTGACGCCTCTTGTAGCCGCTTATAAGGAAAGAATACACGGGCAAACTGGCACCAGTTATTAAGCAGGTTTGAAGGCTGCGTATAACCAGACAGAGGGCTTTGGCAGTATTTTCGAAATCAAGTTTACGCAGTAGATACGATGAACGGTCGCGTGTAGAATCGTCAGCATTATTTCAGTCACACGGTGGGAGAAAGATGCTAAAAATAAACGGAAAGCGTTCGAAGGCCACATCAATAGATGGCGCCCGTGTGTTTCTGTCATCGCAAGCGTTTACGAGGGCTTATATTTTTCAGCCTCGCCATTGGCCGGGCTTTCCCCCCCTCAAATGCAGCGATTGGGTTTCCGAGTGTTTTGCGGGAAAGTAAACGTCTGAGAATGCACAAATATTTGATTACGAAGGCGGCCTTGTGCGTATTAAAGTCACTGAATAAGCTGTGCTTCAGAGTAACGACACTTAACCGTTGTGGTGCTTAAAATCGTGGTTGCCAGTTATCTGAAGCTTTATCTAAAATCCCTAGAAACGCTTTTTCGTCCTCACCAATGCTTAAAACAGTTCGCGACAGAGCAAAGCAATATTACATGAGCTTCCTAAGACCGAATCTAATGCTGAGAAGGTCGCACTTTTGAATCATGACGATCGGTAGTTGCGTCTGCTTTGTACTAAGCCCCCCATGATGGCGGCGACTACAACCCTATCGGGGAAGAAAGTGCCCATACTCTAAGCGTATCTCATTCAGTGGGTATATAGTCACCTAAAACAACCTACTGTAAACAATTCTCTGACGTACTCCGCAAGCGCACGCTTTGGATTTAATAGAGTAATGTCATATCTAGCTTCAGCAGTGTCAGGTTAACCGACTGCCATTGATACTTTTTTTTCTTTTTACATTGTGAAAGTCGTGAATGACGTAGCGCTATTCGATCGAAACTACAATTCGGACACGACTAATCAGGAAACCTTTAATTCATAAGACAAGTTGCGTCCTAAAATATAATAATAGAAAAACGCGTCACGTCCCCTAAGTCCAAACGCTCACCGAAAATCTCTTCCGCTTTCAGGAACCCAGTGTGGTACGCAGTAATTTTCACCCCGCGGGCGCGTTGCTGGGATCGGGGGGGGGGACGGGGGGGGGGGGGGGGGGGGGGGACGCGAGCGAGACGCCCTCTCCCG